CAATCTAATGGGAGAAATCCCAGTTTTCAGAACTTTCTGGGTTTCACAAGTGCAGATGAGGTTTTCTGGAGCCATACAAAGAAGACTGCAGTGAATAATTTTGGACGCATGTAATTTTGCAAGTGTACAAGTACATCCATAGGATGCATTTCTAAAGTAGAGAAGCTGGGACACAAGCTATGCTCATCTGTGATTTTGATAGATGTTTTCATAATAATAACGTTGCCTGTGAGCTGCTACACTGCGTGGTTTTCCAAACACTCTCACTTTTGTCTGTTAACTTTGGGGTAATGAAAATTCTTCCTCGAGAGTGGCGAGGAAGAGAAGTGAATTAAAGGGTACAGGCAGGGTGTGGTGACTCACCCCTGTAATCCCAACACTTTGGGAGGTCGAGGCAGGCCGATCACATGAGGTCAGGAGTTCGAGACCAGTCTGGCCAACATGTTGAAACCCTGTCTCCAGTAAAAATACAAAAATTAGCTGGGCATGGTGGCGCCCATCTGTAATCCCAGCTACTTGGAAGGCTGAAGCATAAGAATCACTTGAACCTGGGAGGCAGAGGTTACAGTGAGCTGAGATCACGCCACTGAACCCCTACCTGGGCAACAGAGCAAGACTCCCTCTCAAAAAATAAATAAATAAATAAAAATAAATAAGGGGTATAAACATACAGTTAGATAGAAGGAATAAATTCATTGTTCAAAAGCAGAGTAAGGTGACTATATTTAACCAAAATGTATTGTACTTGGGTAATGGATGCTGTAAACACCCTGGCTTGGTCACTACACATTATATACATGTAACAAAATTTCTCATGTACTCCATCAATTTGTACAAATAATTTAAAAAATTCTTCCTCCTGGCCTCTCTGCACAAAGCCAGACTCAGTCTCTGGCCCTCAGGAGAAGCATCCAGAGGGCTGTGAGAGTGTACGCTTTGCAGTCAGAATGACAGCAGGACAGTCCCCTTCCTCCTCTGTGACCCTGAGCAAGTTACCTGTGTCTGTCCTGAGCTTTCATTTCCTCCCCTGCCTCCAGGACAGTCCCTCTGCACTTGCCCACCAACCTGTGCTCCGCTTTCCTGCCCAGCCCCGGCCCCAGGAACTGGGTTTTGCCTGCCCTCCCGCAGGGAAGAAGAGTCCAGGCCAACAGAAAAAGGTCCACAGGCTTTTTAATGGTGTGATGGCTACTTCCCTTCCGAGACCCGATCTAATCATTGACAGTGGCTTCCAGGGTGTTGGGGTGGGGTGGACAGGTGCAGGATGGGCAGAGGCCATGCAGTGACTGGGAAGGGCTTGGGGAGGGGTGTTACATTCTGTTTGGCATGTAAACATTCTTAGGTGGCTTCCCGAGGGAGGGGAAGGGCAACTTCCTGCTCCCCACCCCATGCCCACCAGGGCTAGTCCCTGGAGTTGAGAAGACTGAGCAAACCAGGCCCCTGTGAGGAGCTGGGAAATGGGGAGCCTGGGGCACAGCCCCTCTCCTCTCCTGTGCCCCCTTCGTGCACGATGCGGCTGGGGAGGGAAGGCATGTGTTGGGGTGAGCAGACCCTGCATCTGAGTCAGTGACATAGGTTGTTCTGACAGGAAGTGCTGAGGGAGGTGGTGTGACACTTTTACAGAGGAAGGGCTCAGGACCTGGAGGCCTGGTGGAGAGAATGAATGCTCAGGGGGAAGAGGCTGCAGCTGGGGTTGGGGGCACCGGGAGATGTGGCTTCCTCTGCCCTGGATCCTTCCTGGGGAGAGGCACAGAGGCAGTCCCCTAGGTGACCCCCTCCCCACTGGCCCACTTTACCTCTCCCACCTCACCTGGTGACATTCAGAGACTCAGAGGCCTGAGGTCAGTTGGGAGCCCTAGGGTGGTTCGGAATCCCAAGGGAAGACTGGGTTTTGCGTCTCTGCCAGCTCCAGTGCTGAGTGAAGCTGGGGGTAGAATGGACCTGGGGCTCTCTCAGGTCCCCCTCTTCCTCCCAGCTCCAAACCAGGGTGTTGTTGGTCCCGGGGCAGAGGTGAGGCTGGGGGCCCTACATTCACGGTTCGGTTGGTGGCAAGGAGCAGGCCCAGGGCCTGGGCACCAGGAGTCATGTCCTGGTCCCCACCTGGCACGAGCTGATTGTCATTCGGAGAAGCTCTAGGTGAGAGGCAGTGGTCCCTCCTCCACTCCCTCTGCTGGACCCAGAGGGCAGTAGAGGGCCTTGGGAGGGCCTCAAGTTGACAAGGAGGGCTCTGTCCAGAGAAGTTTCCTGAGTGTTCTGGGAGCTTCTGCATCAGCGTAGGGTGGATATCAAAGACTGTCCACCCAGGAGTCCTCCCCTCGGCTGGTCTGCAGAGAAGCCACCACCATGGCCTGAAAGTGGCTGCCCAAGCTGCTGACTCTCCATGAGGGGGAGGGTGCTTTCAGGGTCAGCTGCCTCATGGGCATCCTTCTGGGTGATGGTGGCTGGATGCAGCCAGACCGCTGGGGCACACTAAGGCCTTTCTTCCTCTTTCCCTGGATGTCTTGGCTTGCTCTCTGTGACTCAGGGAAGGACAGAGAGGCTAGGCCAGGGGACAGAGGCTGCAGGGGCCTGTCCAGATAGGCAGGGCTGGCTGTCCCATCTGCAGCCGGTGTGCTGCTTGCCCCAGATGTAGGCAGTTGAGGCTCATGATGAGGTGCGGTGAGCTATGCAGGAGCCAGAACCCAGGAAGAGTCCCCACATCCATTCCTGGAGTAGAGCGGCTGCACAGGCTGGGGTCGGGGCAAGAAGGAACAGGCTGAAGGGTGAGCTGAGGGAAGAGTGGGCTCCGGCTGAGGACCCATCACTCAAGCATTCGATCTGGAAGTTAGAAGGGCCTTTCTGCCTCCAGGGGCCAGCTGTCTGTTGGTCGACCTCTCTCTGCTCTCTCTGCCCATTGCGGGAGACGATGCCTTAGCCAGCCCTCCCTCCCTCCCACAGAAGGGAGGACAGGGAGAGTGACTCCACCAGAACTGAGTCCTCGAATCTCCAAAGGGCCAGTGCAAAGATGGTAACCAGCCACTTTCCACCTGCATTGAACTCAGGAAAGAGCAGGTTGGCTGGAACTGCAGTAGACAGGACTGAGGTTAGATGACAGGAAGGAATTCCTGATGGTGAGGGGTCCTGAGCACTAGATCAGGGGAACAGGGGAGGGAGTAAAACTTTGTTAAAGCCCCCTCCAACATCCCACTGGGAAATACTTGCCCGGGAAGGCAGCCCACACGCTTCCTATGGTTCTCACAGAGGCACCACCCAAATTTAGGAGGCAAGAGGTTTCTGCACCCCAGAGGTGCAGGGGAGCACATCCCCTGCCCACAGAATCACCTGCCCACCCATCTCCAAGATCACTTGCCCACTGCCTCCCACCGAGTTGTCCAGGATGGAGTCAACTTTGGGGCAGGTCAGACCTGCCCCCTCACACCTGAGTAGATCGATATCCCCTGGGTCCCCAACTCCAGCCTGGCAGTCCAGAGGCCATCCCTGGCCACAATGGCTCCCAGAAGACTGTGGGGCTGGACCCTCGGGGGGAGGCTGGAGCCTCCACTTCTGGAATTTGAGGCTACTTCTCTGAAGGGGTAGGGGGACTTTGGCTGGAAAGGGGTCGGAGGAGGGCAAGGCGCCGCAGGAGGTGTAGGCAGAGGTTGCTGGGGGAGCATGGAGAGCAGCCTAGGCCTGGTGGGCGAACGAACTGGGCGTCCCCAGAAGTGGAGTCCTCGATGAAAAGTGGCTGAGCCTTCCCCGGGGCGGAGAGACTGATGTGAGGCTGGCCGGCCTGACGGGCGGCAGGAGGATGAGAGGACACAGGGCGAGGAAGGGGAGGCAGACCCTCCCCGCGGCGCGGTGCCGCGTCTCCCACCGGCCCTGAGGGCTGGTGGGGCGCCGCGTGTGCTCGCGTGCGTCCTCGCGGGTGCAGGCGGAAAGCTGGGGCCAAGGGTGGCGCGCGTCGGGCGCGTAAGGCTGTGCTGGGAGCTGCTCCAGTGTGACCGGCTGCGGGTGGGGGGCCGGGGTGAGGGTGGGGGACCGCGGAGAGCCGCGGGCGTCATTATCTGGCCCCAGCCCGGCCCTCCGCGCCTCCTGCCCGGCCTTTGGTTGTTGCGCGCTGAGCCTGGAGTTTCCCTCTGGGTCCTTTCTTGGAGCCCCCGGGGGAGGGGGTGCCATCAGGCTGGGCCCGGGCCGACGGGACGCCCCGGGGCGGGGGGACCCCGGGCCGGGCCTGGTGCGAGGGGGAGGGACTCTCTCTGCGGGACAGGGACTGGCTCCGGGGGGACGCGCTGGCATTGCGCGCGGCGGAAGTGGACGTGGGGAGGCCCGGGCTGCGCGGGGCTGAGGGCCTGGCTCCGGCTTGGGCTCGCCCTGGGCCCAGGCCGCGGCCAGGAGGTTGTTTGGGGCGGAGGTCAGCAGCAGTGGCCGACCCCGGGGGAGTCTGCAGCTGGAGCCTGCTTGAGAGCAGAAGGCAGGAGAAAAGGAGAGGGCAAAGAAACAAGACAAGGAGAAATATTTCAGAATCCTCCTGGGCACTGAGCACTGGAGTCCTGCATCCTCAGAGCTGAGACTGAGACCATGGCACAGATGGGTAAACTGAGGCCTGGCATTCTGTCCTCCAGGGCAGGACCTTGAGGGGCCACACGCTCCCAGGCTGCTGCTGGAATAGCCTGCTGCTGGCTTTCTTTGGGGTCCTCATTTCATCTTTAAAATTCTCATGGATTTTGCATTCTAATCTAGAATATACCTATGTTTATATTAATATGAAATGTTTTCTCCCAAGGAGTCAAAGCACTGGGCTTTATCCTTTGGCTTCCAATGCCCCATGGCATACCAGAGGCTGCGTGTGGACCCACTGGCTCCCATCAGCTTTTCCTAAGCCTGGTCTCTCTGGCACCCTATCCACACATGCTTACTGAAGCCATTCCCCTGAGCCCAGTAACAGGGCTGGAACCCGAATCAGAGTGAGGCAGAGCACAGTTGGGAGGTGCTGGACCAGAGGTGTCACTGAGGGTCCCTCCTGATCTTCCATAGCCCCTGACCTTGGTCTGGAGAAGCCCCTGCTGGTGGAGGCCTGTGGCCACCCTCTGCCCACCCTGGGGCTGGCAGTGGTTTCTCACCTGCTGGTGATGGCTGTGTCCGATGCTGGGGCCGCGCCGTGGGATTTGCTGGGGAGCTGCTGGGCTGCAGCAGGCATGGGCATGCGGAGGCCAATGGGGCGGGGAATCCGGCTCCGGGTGGCGGCTGCCCGCCCGACCTTCCTGGGCAAGGCCACTGCCGGCTCAGAGGCGGGCGTGTCCTCCTCGGAGCCCGTGCCTGAGAGGGTCTCAGAGGCACGGCGCTGCTCCTCACTGGAGGAGGACGAGGCCCCTGAGGCCAGCCGCAACAGCAGGCGGCCCTGCCTCTTCTCCATCACCAGCCGCGCCAGGTCCTGCTGCAGCCGGGCCCGCTTGCTCCACCGCTCTTTGGCCGACAGTGAGCCTGAGGGCTCGGAGCCGGTGTCCTCCTCAGATAGTAGGATGGGGATACGGCTCCTGGGGCGAGAGCCTGGCATAGCATGGTGTCTGGGGGAGATGGTGGCCACTTTCTCAGGGCTGGGCTCCAGTAGGGACACCGGGGCTGGACTGTCTGCAAGGGCCGGGCCATTGGGCAGTGAGTTTGTGGCCATCGCTGAGGGGGTTTCCCCGGGGGGCCCAGACAGGGCACAGCCCTCTATCTCGGCCCCATTCAGTCCTGAGAGGGCGAGGCCGTTCTCCAGGGGCGCTGGGGCCCCCTCCTCCACAGTGCCCCCATCAGAGGCCAGCTCCAGACCCAGCTCGCCCCCAGTGCTGAACTCCTCAGGCCGCAAGGCTTGTCCGCTGGAAGACATGACGTTGAGGTGGGTTTTCTCCGCAATGTGCACAAAGGTCCTCTCAACTTTGGTGAAGGGTGAGGAGGTGACTGCCACGCCCCCGGCCCCTGTGGTCACTGTCCCGGCCCCCGGCCCTGCCCCAGGCCCCGGGGGTTTGGGCTCAGACTTGAGGACAGAGGAGAGGGTGCCTGGCTCAGATACATCCAGCTGGCTGCCCGTGGGCTGGGGCCGCTCATGCTGAGGAGTGAGGGCAGCCAGGGTGCCCAGGTCAGGGTCGGGGGCCAGTTCGGCAGTGACGGGCGACTTCTTCATGTCGCCAGGAGAGACGAGCACCAGCGTTTTGGAACCCTCCTCAGGCTCCAGGTCCCCATCAGCCATGGAAGCCCGGCCCCTGGACTCCTTTTGATCGTCTGCCAGCAACGTGGACGGGGCGCCCTCCTGGCTCCTGTCGGTGCTCCTCTCACTCCCCTCACTGCTGGAGCCACTGCGAGGCCCCAGCACCTCCCCCAAGGCAACTGCCGCCGCAGCCTCTTCCTCCTCCTCTTCCTCCTCCTCCTCCTCTTCTTCCTCCTCCTCTTCCTCTTCCTCCTCATCTTCCTCATCCTCTTCTTCCTCTTCCTCATCTTCCTCTTCCTCCTCCTCCTCCTCTTCCTCCTTCCCATTAGCCTGAGGCTGAACAGGAGACAGCGGGACCTGGGGGGTGGTGAGCAGCATGTGGGAGAAGCCCACCCTCCGGACCCTGTTGAGCAACCGCGCCCGTTCTCGGTAATCGGAGAGGTCCCTCTTGAAGTCCTGGTAGGGCAGACTCAGAGGCACAGCTCTTGGGAGGCCATTCACCTCAAATGGGGGCGCCACGGAGAACACCTGCAAGGGGCACACACAGGGACCCTCTGAGGTCACCCACCCTCCTGGACCCAGGGAGACTTCAACTGCACCCACAAGCTAGGAGACTCACAGGCCTGAGTCATCTACCAGAGTGTGAGCCCCATAAAGGTAAGCACAGGCATTGGGTCTGTCTTGTTCACTGCTCTGTCCTCAGGGCCTAGAATGGTCTCTGGCACCTAGTGAGTGCTCAGCAAACCTCTGATGACTGTCCATGCTCTAGGTCCCCTGAAGTCCCAGGCCCTGATCCTGGTGGCCTTTCTGCCTCCCAGACTCTCCATGTCCCCAGCCCCTCTCATCGCCATGTGCATCCTTCACCTGAGTCAGCAACAATAACAGAAAATGAAAACTGAAAGGAACCACGACCACCACGCAGCTCAGCCCTTCCTTTTACAGATGAGAAAGCCAGGCCCAGAGATGGGTGGCAGGTGTCTGCGCCACTTCCTAGATGGGCTGTGCCAGGCTGGCTCCTAGATGCCCTTAGTACCACCTCCGGGTGTGCAGTTTCTCTGTGGCCAGAGAGCTGGCTGCCCAGGGCCACCAGATCCTGTGCTGGACAAGGGCAAAGGTGTGGCTGTCCTCTACCCTTAAAAGTGCAGGCTGGGCCCCTGGACCTCCAGTCCATCCTCTCAGCCAGGAATTTGTCCAGCCCTCGACAGGTATACTTAAGCTCCATTCCGTTTTCCTCTTCAAAGCTTTGTGCAGAGCCTTTGGCAATGTGATGGCCAAACCAGTCCTTGGTTTTCTAGGCTCTTGCCATGTCCCCCTCAGCTTCCTTCCTTCCAGACTAGAAAGGTCTGACCACCTGCTCGGGACCTTGGCTGCTGTGTTTCCTTTGCTCTAGCTCCATCCACCCTGTTCAATACACAGACATCCCCAGGCACCTGCAATGCCCTGGGCCCATTAGGGCTGACACAGCTTTGTTCCATGGTGGGACGGTGCTGATGGTGTCCAGCACTTTGCTAGCGTTTTCTAACACACTGGGCTTCTGTCTTCCTGAGCTAGCAGAACACAGCCCATCCAGGCCAGAAGCCCTGGGGATATCCTGCCTCCCCACTTTCCTGCCTCCCCACTTTCCTGCCCATCCATGCTGCCAAGGAGTCCTGCCAAGCATCCTTCTTAAACCTTTCTGTGTCTGCTACCTCAGGCCCACGAGCACAGCCTTGCCCTCTCTGGTGGTTCCCCAGCCACCGGCCTGCTCCCTCCATCCTGTACTGCCATCCATCCTTTTTACATCTGCCTGAGTGATCTTCCTGAAACTTAATCTGATTCCATCTCTCTCTGCTTCAAATCTGCTATGGCTGCCACAGTCCTTAGGAGACAGTTCAGATCTTTTTTTTTTTTTTTTTTTTTTTTTGATACAGAGTCCTGCTCTGTCACCCAGGCTGGAGTGCAAGTGGCGCAATCTCGGCTCACTGGGCTCACTGCAACCTCTGCCTCCCGGGTTCAAGTGATTCTCCTGCCTCAGCCTCCCCAGTAGCTGGGATTACAGGTGCCCTCCACCATGCCCGGCTAATTTTTTTTTTTGTATTCTTAGTACAGACAGGGTTTTGCCATGTTGGCCAGGCTGGTCTCAAGCTACTGACCTCAGGTGATCACCTGCTTCGGCCTCCCAGAGTGCTGGGATTACAGGTGTGAGCCACTGCGCCTGGCCTAAGACAGTTCAGATCTTTAACTTGGCGCATGAATCCCCCACCCAACCCTATGACCTGCTCCTACCTGCTGCTGTGGCCTCACTTACTGCAACACCCTCGGTCCCCTGCCCCTGCCTACACTCCACCCATTCTGATGCTTCCAGAAGTTCCTAAGTGCATCTTCCAGCTCACACTTAGCCCAGGCAGTTTCCTTCACCTGGGGGTCCCTCTCACCCACTCTCTGCACATGATAACTTGCTACCCTTCCTTCAAGACCAGCTCAAGCAGCTCCTGGTCTTAGCAAAGGAGAGACAAAGCCTTCCTGTCAACTTTCCTGTCCACCCACCAAGGAGATTTACTTACTCTCCCTGTTCTACTTGTTTTTCACATCTTTCCATGAGAGAATCTCCCACCTGTTGTTCTACATGCATTTATTTATAGGGTTCTCTCTCCTGTTACACAGAGATCCCTGAGGGCTTCTTCATTCACTCCTTCAAGACATTCATCAAGTATGAATGAGATAGAGATTGTCCTTAGTTTCTCTGTATCAGGAAACTAAGTGGGGATATGCACATTCCACAAATGTTGTGATCATAAATGAGGTCATATAAGCAAAGGCATATAGCAGTTGCTCAATAAATGTTAGCTTTCTCCCCACCTCACCTCCCACCTCCTGCTCTGCTCGCTTTGGTTTGAAGGTCATTGGCAGAAAAGCCTGGATGCCACACCTATGGGGAATAGGGTGTGGAGAAGGGAGGGGGCTCTGCTAGCTGAAGCCTCCATGCAAATAGCACAAAGCCAGGTGGAGAGAAAGGCAGAGACCTCCAATGCTGAGGGTCTGTCCAGGGCTGTGGCTGCTCCCCTTCCCAACTGCCATGATCTTCCCTGTAATCAGACCATCAGTGAGGGTTTGGTGGGGGTGATGCAAGAATATAGCTTCAGATTCCAACAGGACACCAGCAACCCTGTTTGGGCCAGGTAAGGAACTTTCTTAGAAAACTCTTCTTAGTCAGAAAGTTTTCTTAGAAAGCTTTCTCAGAAAGCTCCCTACCTGGCTCAAACAGGGTTGCTAGAGTTTCCTCAGCCTGGGGAACATGGCAAAATCCTGTTTCCACTAAAAATACAAAAATTAGCTGGCCGTGGTTGTGCACGCCTGTGGTCCCAGCTACTCGGGAGGCTGAGGAGATCAAAACTGCAGTGAGCTGTGATCACACTACTGCACTCCAGCCTGGGCAACAGAGCGACACTGTCTCAAAAAACACAACAACAACAACAACAACAACACTTTGTCCCCTCCACATATAGGCTGGAAGTGTCCAGAAGAATGTACTTTTTCTACACAATATTCGTTCTTATTAATCCATTCACTCATTTAGCAAATACTAAGCACCAACTCTGCGCCAGGCCTTGTGCTGGGACACTTTACCACTCACCAATGTTACGGCTAGAGAAAATGGCTGGGTAGAGGTGGAGGGGCTGCTGTAAGCTCCCAGGTGAATGGGGACCATGGGGTGGGTGGGTGTTGGCACTGAGAGTCAGGGACAGGCAGACAGACAGAGAGCTCTGAGCATGTCTCTCTCCCAACCACCTCTGAACTCACCCAACTGGCACCAGACACATCCTGCCCAGTAGGGATGGCCTTTAACTCCACCAGGCCACCCATTCTCCACAGAACCTTTGCCTATTGTCCCTCTCTAATCCCTGGCACCTTGGTTAGAGACACCCTTTCCTTTGCTCTCTGGCCAGGTCCTGGATCTCTCTGAAAAGGCCGCATGGAGAGGATGGGATGTCCCCGCAACACACACACACACACACACACACACACACACACGGTGCTCACATTGGATGGTTGTAGGTGAAACCCTTTCTCCTGCCTCAAAGTCCTCCCCTCCTATTACCTGAGAGAGAGGAGGAATGAGAACTGGAAATCAATGATCAGTCATAAAATCAGACTGGGAAACTGAGGCACAGAGAAGGGCATGGATTTGGGCACTGGTCCAGGTTGTGAAGCACATCCACCAGGGTGGCCCAGGACCCAAAACTCTTTTCTTTTCTTTTTTTTTTTTTTTGAGACGGAGTCTCGCTCTGTCGCCCAGGCTGGAGTGCAGTGGCCAGATCTCAGCTCACTGCAAGCTCTGCCTCCTGGGTTCACGCCATTCTTCTGCCTCAACCTCCCAAGTAGCTGGGACTACAGGCGCCCGCCACCTCGCCCGGCTAGTTTTTTGTATTTTTTAGTAGAGATGGGGTTTCACCGGGTTAGCCAGGATGGTCTCGATCTCCTGACCTCGTGATCCGCCCATCTCGGCCTCCCATATTGCTGGGATTACAGGCTTGAGCCACCGCACCCGGCCCCAAAACTCTTTCCAGTGTCTCCCACTCAGTCCCATGTGGGGATACCTGGAACCCTCTGCCTTTTGGGAGGAAGAGCCCTGAATCTCACGGTGAGGACAACTTTGCCCTAAGGATAACCGCCACCCCCACACCAACCTAGGCATGCTGGCTTTTCGGTTCCAAAGTCCCTCTGCCCTTCCCCCATCTGGCTCTGTGCTGGGGAGGGGCAGAGCCTGGGCTCAAATTCCTCCCTCCTCAGAGAGTAGCCTAACCCTCTCCCTGCCTCTCCTGGATGCCCAGTGAATTATTCATCCATTTGCCCATTTGATCTTGAGTTCATTCACTCAGCCAGTGATCCACAGACACCTTCAGTGTGCCTGGCCCTTTAGCTGTCTGACAAAGTTCACACCTTGCTTCCTTCTCAGGGCAGCAACCTTTATGATTCTCATCTGCTTATTGTGGTTCCCAGGCCTGGCTTGGCACAGCATTGTCCAGAGTTGCTTTTTAAAAATGCACAGTCCTGGGTCCTACCCCTAGATTCTGTAGGTCAGAGATGAGGCCCAGAAATCTGGCTGTTTTAAAGCTCCTTAGTGATTCAGAGTTCAGCCAAAGGCATATATGTGTTAAGGGTTGGGCTGTGGGGAGAGGAGGAGGACAGGTCAATCAAACCGATACCCTCAGAGAGAATGAAAGTCCCAGCCCTGCCCCTCCATCCACTGTGCTTTGTCTAGAGGGCTAGGCCTCACCAGCTCCAGGGCCCAGCCCAAGTCCATGTTTACTCCAGTCAGGAGGAAAAGTGAAGGGAGAGGATGGACCAGATTCTGAGCTTCAGTTGCCACCAACAAAACTGGGCTCTCATGCCCTTGGAGAAACTTTTCTCACACCAACACTGGAGACGGGGCTCCACACAGCCCCATCCTTAATCCCCACACAGGGTGCATGGAGCCACTCCTGTCTGGACCCCAGCCAGCTCCAGACTTCAGCACTGCACCCCAGCCCACGGTCCCGAAGTCAAAG